TTTGGGTACCCCGAGGTAGAACCAATAATTGTGTTTGTTGACCAATGAAGTACGCCTTTCTCCGTAAAGGTAACGTGCGTGCCCGGTATTTAGTAAGATCATAAAAGTCACACTTTGTTCTCTTGTAATTGGGTAAGAGAGCACTCCTTTGGAAGCTTGTGTTGCATATGTGGGCATTCATTTCTTTGTTGCCTGCTCCCTTGCAGTATTAGTTAGATCATGCGTTATTTCCGGATCATATGAAACATTGATAACTATGCTTATTTTTGTTGCTCTTTACAAACTCTTTGTCGCTCTTGTGTGTATAGCAGTATTAAAAAACGAACAGCATACGAAAAGCAGGACACGGTATATTTTTCTTCATAGCTGGAGTAGAACCGATCAAGTTCACTGAGCTCAATTTACGCGTTGCTTTTTTGTCAACTGTCAATTTTTGTTTTTCTCAAAGCTTGTTCAAAATCGGTTGATTTTTTCTCAATTCGAGACCCACAAGATAAAATAGAAATGTCAGCCTCGTATAATGACCTTCCTGACGCCTGGTCTTAAGGACGAAAAAAAAGAACCCTCTCAGTGTTTACCGCTGTAGCTGGAGTTTACAAAGAAGCTGACTCATCAAATAGATATTTTTGATTCTTACAGTTGCGTGGCGCGGAGAAAACAAGATGGATATATCCTATATAAAAATCTTCCTCCGCCATCTGCAGGGTTCCATCAACTCACTAATTCTTTATAGACTAGTCACTGATAGAGTAAGAAACGCAAGGCATCTTGATTCCCGTGCATATTATTATCTTTCCGCCGCCAATAGGATAAGAGCGATTCACGAAGCGGGACCACAAAGACCACGCCCTACGTTTCTCAACCAGAAGGTGACTGTATGGTTATAGGCACTGTTGGTAAAAGTAATTACGGATCAAAACTCTTCCAGATCTATAATAACGTTTTTCTGGGTAACAACAACAAAAAAGAAAGTCTCGTTGTAAGTTTTTAATGCGGCACAAAAAAAAAAGCGAAAATGGTAACTGTTTCGCATGTTTTTGGTTGTTTATACAGGTCAAGATAAGTTATAATGACATTAGGGACGTCAATACACAGACGTTTTGGAAAGACTCATTCATTCTTTAAGTGTCTTAGCACTTGAAGAAGTCAGCCCTACTTCCGGAACGACTCTGTGTTAAAGTATTTATTGTTATTAAAATCTATTTTAACGTCTTTAATTGCTTAAGATATAATTTAAGTGCATACGGTCTCTTATGCACGAAGTTAACAACGATTAAAAAAAAGAAAAATAATATAATGTGATAATAACTCTATATGACGCGTTTCGAAGCATTTACATGGCTCTTAATTATTCCTCGAGATTTGATTGTAGAGTCCGTGAACCAAAATACAGACATTTTGTGTTTATCATTATAAGGACACACTAATATTATTGTCATAATAGCAGAATACTAAACCCTCCAATTCATGGCGTAGATATAGTGATTTATCGATTGTCCCATTTGTTTTAATGATAAAAAACATTTAGTAAATTCTTAAACAGTGGTGACCTGTACGAGGGAATATGTCGTGCAAATCCTACGTCTCATATCGTCAACTTGATACATATATGTTTATATAGCTTATTTATTTGAAGTATTGATTAGAAGTTTGTTTTGTTTAATAAATATGGCAAAACGATTTGTTATACGACATGCAACACGATATACTTTTCCTTTGATTTCTTTCCTTTTGAAACTAGAGAAAAAGAAGCTTCACATGGTGCACAGTAAACTTTCTTTTACATGAATAAATATCTTTTTTTAACGAATAGAAGTCCATTTAGTTAAATGTATCAATATAAAACAATAACAACATTTCCTTCGAATGTCTCGCATCAATACATTCACCAATTTAAAACAAAACAAAATTATTATTAGAGTTATATCTTCTTAAATTTGTTTTTGTGCAGTTCACATTTTAAGTACTGTACATTTAATGTAGTGATACGTCTGCCTTTTCTGATGTAGAAATTTGAACAGTTTTCCCAAACTACAACAGGCTAGGTTAGTAAAGAAAAGCTATAAATTATGCGGAGCTCCGACGCTCGATAATTACATATTTGATTAGTTATTTCACACTTAGACGCTTTGTCTATACTGATTCGTGCAACTTTGTCATTATACAAAGATGCGACTCAAGATGTATACTCCTTTAGCATTTAAAAAATGTACTTTCGCATCCTACCAACAAGAATTCACAGTTGTTGTAATATTCAAATAAGGAACGAACATATTTCCGACAAAAGGCTTGCTCTGTAATTCCCACGAAAGTGGGCGAAATTGTTTAATAACGCTTGACCAATCCAGCCAGATTGTCGTAGGGCTAGTATTGATAATAGCGGTGTTTTCAAACACTTATAGTTGAAATGTCCTATCAGGCAAAACAAAAAGCACTTAGTTTCCCCTGACTCGCGTCGGTAATTGAGTTGGATGATGTAAAAAAAACAAATGCATGGAACACTATTTGCATTCTTGTTCTCGTTCGATTTTATCAATGCATTCTCCGAAACATATGTATCAAACGGGCACTATATGTCGTGTTTCAATCTTGAAATTGTACAATTTCTTTTGTCTGCATCAAGAAAACAGATAATCAAAACGAATACAGTATTTAATAAAAAAAATTATAGTAATTAATATAATGTTATTACTATATATACCTTACCCGATGAGGTTGCATCATTCGTTGATAAAAAAGAAATAAAGAAATCTGTGACGTGCCTTATGTTCACAAATTATGCTTCGCGATTCGCTGTTTCAGAGCGAAGCTGTATACAGCTAGGGTTCCGTGGATTTTTCGTGTGCGTCAACACAAACTCGCGCGCCCTCTCTTTTTCGTCGTTCCAAGCGCTTGCGTGCCTAGTTTCCTTCCGCTCTCCCGCGGTAGCCGTCCCGTCGCTCGTGCCTAGTTTCCTAGGGCTCCTCGGGGCGGCGATAGTCGTCCACGCGAATGTATATAAAAAACCAGAAAGACAAGCTGCCGTTCTCCATCTTCAATTTCACTTCTCTTCTCTCGTCGTTATGGGGAGCTCGAGTAACACGAATAGCAACGGCGGGAACGGCAACGAGAATGTCATTGGCGGTGGCAGGCGGAAAACAAACCCGATGAAGATCGTGCATGAATGTGTTTTTTCCTTTTGGTCAAAATTCTGTGTAACGTCTGTGTCGTGTGCTAAACAATGTTTCTGGGTCATCCAACTTCACAAAGTTGAATGGCTCATAATCTTTTTTTTTTTTTTTAGCAAGGAATGCTGCCTTTTTATTGGATCCTGAGGTATTAAAATATAACAGGGACTCGTTCTACTCAGTGTTTTTATTTAGGCTTTGCGTTACTATAGAAGAATTGGCTTATACTGATGATATCACGAGGGGCCTATAGTTACATAATTTTACAAATCGTGTTAGGGTCGATGCCTATTGACTCCGCTCGTTGTATTTTTATTTTGGGCCCTACCAATAATCTGGGCGTGTAGAAAAAAGATAGGTAGATTTAATTATCTGAAAACAAGTCACCAGGCACGGTATCCTTTAGTATTTGGGATATATATGCCGCTCTGCACTGTTCAACTTATATTAGAAGCGTCTATTGATGCCGCTAACCTAATGTTTGATACTGTGAAAAATACAATTTAATATGATAAAGAACTGTCAAACGAATCACAAATTTATAAGATCCCAATCATAATTTGTACCACTTCTGAGAGTATTTGTTTTATATTTGTGAAACACGAAACAAGCGTCATAATACAGTACGGCTTAACCCAAGCAGCACAGAGTTGGCCAGTCATCGGCCAACGGCTGGCAATGGTCCTTGGCCAAGTGGCCAGACAGTGGCCAGAGACTGGCCGGTGACTGGCCTATATCTGGCCACTGGCCAATGGCCACTGCCCATCAGCCATCGGCCAAGCATTGGCCAATGAATGGCCACTCTCTGGCCACTGGCCAGAAGACTATCGCCGGACATTGGCCATTGCTTGGCCAAAATCCGTGCTGCTTGGGAAGTTCAAGCGCTTATGCGCAACATATTCGGCGATTAAATTTTAGCAATTTTAATGTACAGAAACCGCTATAGTCATTCAGTATGTTGAGAAATCTAGGCTTTCTTTTCTATACTGACATCCCAGTTAACACATAAGAATCACAATTATTATAGGGGAAATATACTTACCTTGAAATGGGTATTCCGTTTTACTTCAGCCTATAGTATAGGATACATTTCCTTGTTGCTCCCATTGAGACAGCGCGAAATTAGATGCCACAAATATATAAAATATACACCTAACTTCCTCAAATAAATATGTCATATATATCTAGTTTTACCTCTCATGGTTATTCAAGGTGTAATTATTTAAGAAGTAGCACGTCATTCATTAAACGCAAAATCCTATGCAGCCCGTATAAAATGCTGTTCAAGACCTGCATACACCGAATTCTACTGTACATGTTGTACCATTTATACAAATGTCTAGTATCCTAGCTTAAGCATAACGCCTGAAAACATCTATTTTATGTGAGAAGCATTAAGAATTCATAAGCTATATTTAGAGTGATTAGTAGCCAAAAAACGTTTCCATTCCCCTTTCTAAAAATGAAGCTACAATAAGGAGCATTAACGTTTTTTGTTTTGTTTTTTTATCTCTTGCGTGCGGTGTCTTCGAGCATATCATATTTCTGAACTCGAAAGTCATTCCTCGTCCTGATTTGTTTTATCTGTCTTCCCTGGACAAGATAGATAGGTTTACCACGGGATTCAGGTGCAGGCGGACGTGCGAACACTTTTAAGCTTGTCCAGATTGCCGTCCATTAAATTGGGTACAAAGGTAAGGACACCTAATCAGTTCCAGTAGTAAGGTGAATATCACAGCAAATTACGCTTTTAATAAATTATCTAGAAACTGAAAACATGGTAAAAAGAGCGGCCCGAGGGAAGAGCCATTACGCCGGGGCGAAAAAGCTTACCTGACCTACGTTGAAGAGCGAAGTCGGTCGAGCGTCTTTTTGGTCGAGGAGTGTTCGGAGTTCAGAGAGGGGGCTCAGAAGGGAGTCACAGATCCGTGCGTACCGCCGCCCGATCTCGCGACTGCCACGCCGCTCCACTCCAAGCCTCGAACCCACAAACTTTCTCAAAGAGATACACAAAGAAAAGCAAAAGAGCAAATGTGCAAAGCTCCGCCGCGAAAAGATAGAGCGAAGCAAGGAATCCGAAAGAACAAACCGAAAACCCCGGGTTCGAAAATAGACACAGAAGACCTCAAGCCCCTTCCAAAGAAAAACGAGCGGTAGAAGGCTCCTTGCGTCGAGGGTTTCGGGCTCGATGACTTGGGGCTCGAGACTACGGAATACCTCGTGCTGATTGGTTCCCGTGAGGAGGTGACGGGTACGGCTTAGATATCGCTTGTTTGGACTACTCTTCTGTTCTTCGTACTCGACTTTTTACCGTGACTCTGTCTTTCTAAGAAGTAATTGTAACTACAACAGCGGCCGCGATCATGAATGAGACGTAAACGGGAGTACTAGTCAGCGCTGAAGCCAGCTGGCAGCGTGTAGTTCTGTGCCTTCAAACGTGAAGAACGCCGCCATGTTTGTTGGCTCCACATCACTGCACGAGCGCGGTGCGGTACTCCGTGGTGCACATTCAATACCCCAGGCTAAAGGTCGCACTGCACTGGACATATTTCTCATCTACGGCTGAGACGCCAGATGTCCATTGGTGCTGACACTTCCGATGTCTAAACATGAACACCACACAAATGTTTTGCAGGCGCAAACTATGAATGTTAATATATGTACGTCAAGAAAAATACGCAAAAGTTTTAGATTGAATCAAGATATAAACTTGGTAAATTATTTTACGTCAGCGAGCGTTTCATTTTATGAATACGGTGTCAGTGACATTCATGCGTGCAGTTGTTGAGCACTTTATTGCAAGAGTTGTTGTAACTTCACAATACACCAAAAAGCGTTATATATTTAAAAAAAACTATTGTATCGATTTACGGCAGGTGACTACTTAATTGTGACGTATCATAACGACGTACTTTTAAAAGTTAATTCACCTCTGTCATGAATTCTTAGAAACATTGTAAATATTCCCGGTATTCTATCCTAATTTTGCGTATAAGAAAAACTACTAAAACAAAAGCTTTAGTGGCTTCTGCGGTCAGCGCTAGATATTGATCCCCAATTAGTACCTCCTCAGCCTCTCCACAGAGCACGTGCTGTTTACTTTATTTTATTATGTGTATGTTTTTTCCTCCAAAAACCGCCGCCTTCGTAAGATATAAGCGGCAACTCCCACCACCACCGAACACGTTCCACGTGACGTCACACATTTGCTTCAGCAAATCCCAACGTGGTTACCCGCCCAACGTCACGAGCAACGTCAGAGGCCGTTGGAGCCTGCTGTAAAAGTAAACCCGAGAGTTTAGACCGGCGTCCCGAGCCGTGTACGCAGCGCTTTTAAAATAACCTCCGCGCTGCGCTTCTAACACGGCTGTGCAGTTGTCGGCCTGCATGTGGGCCTCACCCGAAATAGACGGCCGAGGAGGAGAAGGGGAGGGACGTGGGTGGGGCGGCAGAGGCTGATAGAGAGAGGGAAAGGCAGGCCCTTAAATGGCCCTGCCTCCGAAACAGCTTTCGGTGACGAGACGATCGCTTGCGGGATTCCGTGCAGCAGTGTTTCGGTACAACCGCAGGCACTCCATACTGTACCTTCAACAAGAAGTCTGCGAGTTCACTTTCCCGTGAAACAAGAAAAAAAAAAGAAAAAGCCAATCGGAATACAATAAGATAAAAAATTGTAGACATCGTGAAGCAGGTGAAGAGCCATGCCCATCGTCCCAACACGCATCTAATTTTTTCGGTAGGATTGCACTCGGAGCTTCGTTTTTCGATGGCATGTTTTGCGGCAATGTGGTCTCACAGCCTTTCTTAGAATGCAGAACAAGACTATTGTTTTCCTTCTTCTATTGCAAAGATGCTTTCTCCAAAATATCGCCAGGGATGAAGGCGAACTCAATAATATCCTACGGGAAAAATAGACGCCAGACAATCTTCAACATCAACAACAACAAAAAAAAAAAGCAAAAATCGGGTGTAGAAGCCACATCTCCAGGGTAACATGGCTTCAGAGCTCAATTTACTACGTACTTGACCTGAGGCCTGTGCGGAAGGCAGATTAAGCACAACTACTAGGTCAGAGTCCCCCCTGATTGAACACAAGGCTCAATCAAGTGCTGAAACAGCACTCGTGTTCGCACTGCATGCCGCTCTGACTATTGCAACACTACGCTTATGTTACCTGAAAAATGTATTTTGAATGCGTTCCTACAAGAAATCATATACAGTTCTTGGGTAGAGACGTTCAATTACTCCCATAGTACGGCACTAAAAAAGTATATCGTATTTTTTTTTCTTTTGCAGAGACAGTAAAAAGGCGGACATATGAGTCAAAGGACATATTTCCATCATGGCAAAGCAAAGGTGACAAAGCCAGACGATCTAATACTAACAAAACATGGTGAACAAACATATTGTCGTACAAAACAGAAATACAAAGTCGCAGAAGTGCTCACACAAGTGACGATTTCAACGCAGGATGAATAAGACGATAAATAGTGGCCTAACCAGTACTGTGGGTGTTGATCGGCGAGAAATCCATTGCAGTACATTGCATCAGAACACATGACTGCTTATCGCGGAGGTGTACTTTTTCAGTTCGTCGTACCGCCATATATAATTTTTCTACGGTCAGTCCTTGGGAGTTTACACTGTACTTGTTAGCTGCTACACGAGAATGGTCGCCGTTTCAAACTGTTAGCGCCACATAAAAGTTTCTTGTAAAACTCATCGGATGCCTGGCGGGGCGGATAATGATTTTCAAAGTTGAAATGTCACTCTCGTGCTCCCCGCTCCCCTCTCCTTCCCTTCGCTCCCAACCCCCCCCCCCCCCCTTGTTCCGGTGTGTTCGGGATAACCTAACTACTCTGTTTAACATTTAAACCCCCAACTTGTTTTTGCATCACGCACTATAGAAATAAGACTAGAGTATTCTTTCAATGCTCAAATGTTCACTCCTGACAGAAATATATGAAACATTTAAGCTCTTGCCGCAAAAGCGAAAAGTGTACTTCAGTCTGTATAAGGAAATTCATGCAAGAAATGTCTTCCTTCCCCTTTCCCTTCATGTACCTTTGCATTTTTAGCAGAATCTCACTCAAACTTCGGAACTACGCGTCTTAGAAAGAAAGTCTTAGAAAAAGAAAGGTACCATGAAATAAATTCGTGACTATATTTTTTATCTTTTTTTTCATCATTAGACTAGAGAGCAGCAAGGTGATGCGCGCGCAGCTGTCGATGTGTAGCTCTCAATAATGACACATTATTCCGAGAGGCGTCGTTCTGTGAACATTTGGGGCTACGCTACATGAGGTTTTGCTACAGTGCGCGAGGACATCGACGATTTCATTATGTACTGCTAACCACAGCAAAGAGCGAGCCTGAGTTGTATCAAACTCGGCATGTCTTCGACGGAGACCTTCCAAATAACTGATTTGGCTTATAGCAAAAAATCACTGAGTCCTGTGATGCGCTTCAGGAATAGCAGAACAACACTGGAAAGGGAAGAAAAGTCGGGAAACGTCGCCCTACGTATCTTCCTCTTCTAGTGATGTTCTGCCATTCTTGAAGCGCAAGTGTCACTTAAAACACCTTGCACGAGTCAGTGCCCTCTCGACTTCAGACCGCCGAGTCACTTCATAGGTACCTAATCCAGATTGGCCGAGTTTGGCACGGAATTGATGCTCGCTCTTCGCTCTGGTTAACACTGCATGCTGAAATCGACTATGTGTTTGGGCACGTGGTCTTACAAACATCGTTTAGAGCAGCTCCAAATGTTTAAAGAACGACGCCCTTGGCACCGTGACATGTGAAAGACACATGAAGGCATTTGACAGCTGTGCGCGCGTCGCCGTGTTGCCTTCTCTTTTTACGTCACAAATGTGGTCCTGAAACATTTTGGTCGATTCTTGACTACCTTTATAATCTTAACAGATAAAGTTAGTAATACCATTAAAAGTATGAAACTCTGGTTTTCGACACACATTTTTAATAATTACCCATGTTTTACTTAGTTCTAACTAAAAGTAACGTATCTTAGCCCAAATGATATGTAGGCGTGACAACCTTCTTTTGTGTCGAGCGGTTCAAATAATACGAACACGTAAAAGTTTTTTTTTTTTTTAAAGCTCAAATGATTTCTTTTTAAAACGTCGTGAAAGCTAACACCAACGCGGCGTGTGCAGGTGAGATATGCGGTGAGGGGGACATAGTATAGGAGACCAATTATAAAATATAAGACGGATAATTAACTAAAATATGTTGATTAACGTTTTAATTATTGAAAGTAAACATATGGTTCTAATTCAAAACTTGCCGAGCGTAATAAAAAATCACTAAATCAGTCAATGTTAGAGAGGCTTGGAGCACGCGGAACAATCTGTGGAGCGCTAAAGTTACCCCTCGTGTACCAGGAGCAAGACTTGCGGTACAAATACGCTTTCGCGCTGGTTTTTCCGTTATTTATCATAGCCCCAGCCTTGTTTGTGCCTGTTCCACGAGTGGTAACTTTAGCGCACTACTGCCTTCCCACGCGTTCAAAACCTTTCTCAAGAAAAAGAAAAAAAAAAAAAACTAATTTAGTTGTTTTCTATGACGCTCATCAAGTTTCTAATTGAAGCTATCTGTCTATTTGCACTAAATAAAAATTCAATTAAAAAAGTCAAGTGAATTATTCGGCTTATCGGGCCGATTTGGCCAATATATTGTGTGCCCGTGGCCATATAGCTCACCGGCACGAATAGCTTTAGCGTAGCGTTCAGGGCTTTTTTAAAACAAATATGTTAAGCCCAAAAAGAAACGCCCTGTAGTGTTTACATAGTGTACATTTAAAGGATTTTGGTTTGTTTTGCGTTTTACACTTTTTCTCCTTTCGAAATTCTACATGACCTGTGTCTGTGTCTGTATTTTATATTTATACGTACCTTTGTTTTGAAGTCCACCGGCACTCTTCCAATGGCTTCAGACAATTGGTGGTAAACTCGGGAAGGTTAGAAAAAAACCCCGCCAAGTAATTTTAACTCCACAGTCTTAAATACCTCGTGTCGCAGAAAAGCCGGCGTCGGTGTCGGTTGCGTTGTCTTCACGGGAAAATCCTTATTGGTCGA